GCGGATTTCGTTGCATAAAATTCTTTGATGTTGTTTGTTTCTTTCAGAATCAAACATTTTTGAAAATTCTTGTGTGAATCTTTTCCAGTCTGATTTCATTTCTATGGGTAATGCTGAAAACCATTTTTGTGCTGCGCCATCTAGGGTTGTTTGTATTAATGCTGTGTGTCTATGTATCCGATTTTGATGTAGTGGCGTATTAATTGGTTCGGGTCCTATATTTAAAATTAAATTTGCTGTTACTGCATTTAGATAATCTTCGACAGAGTATTCAGGGTCTGTTCCTGTGAATACCATTAATGGTTTATTCGATGTTATTGATGATCCACCCATGAGGTATGGAATCATAGTCATCTGTAGTGATTCTGCGGCATTTGGCATTTGTGAAAAATTTGAAAGTTGATTTTTTGTGATTTCATGTTGCTGAAGGTAATAGGGAAGCGGTATTTCATTTTGAATTTGTGTTGGTTGATAAGAATGCAGTAACATTGGGTTTTGTGGTTGTATTGGTTGAAAAGATTGTGTGTTAAATGGGTTTTGTATATGCATTTGTTGTGGATTTTGTATATCTGTTGGGTTTTGTGGGTAAGTTTTCATATTTTGAGATGCTTGAGATTGTCGCGGTCTCTGTGTGCGATATTCTTTAGTTTATGGTGCAAAAATATCTGTTTGATGATAATCATCTTCATCAGATGATAAATAGTTTGTATTATATGGTGTATGTTGTTTATTTTTATTTTGTTGAAAGAATGGTTGATTTTCACTATAATCCTGTGTAGGTTGTGGATTATCTGGAAAATTTACTGAATTAGTCAATGTTTTCGGGAGATTCCAATGATGTGAACATACGTGATTTAAATTTTGTGTATTTTTTCGGGGAGGTTGGTTTGTTCTTGGTTTGTGAGCATAATTGTAATTGTGTTCTGCAGTGTTTCTTGTGAAAGGTTTTCGTGTTTTTGACGGTATTGTCATTGGTCTATACGTTTGATAGTCCATCTGTAAATATTTTGGAGCAACCGAAGGTTTTACGGTTGATTGTAAGGCTACCTGTGTTAGTGATGTATTTGTATTCTTGGTGTTGTCAGATTGGGGTGTTCTTCATTTATGAAGTGTGATGGTGTTTGAATATCTTGTTGTGTAAGATTTCTGGTTCCATTGAGGTTTTCATTATGTATGACTGTTGAATTGAAACTGTTATTTTGTGTATCAGGTAAAAATGTATTATAATTCAATGATGTCGCATCAATGGTTAATGGTACTACTTTTACATAATCTCTGTGAAAAGATATTGTACTTATTGCTTGACTCGAGATAGCTTGTGGGATTTTTAGAAATGCTGGATGAGACCAGTCAGGGTCGCAAACGTAATCTGATTGTACTGAAAGAACAGTGTCGTCATTGGTATTTTGAGGTCTGAAATTTTTTCTTGCTTGTGAAATTAAATCTAAATTGTGGGTAAAATTATAAACCATGCTAAAATCTTTTGTAAATCATGTTTAGTGTTTTGTGAAACATCTTCTTTAGTGAAATTTTCGCGAATTATATGTAGAAATGTTGAAAATACTGTGATTTCATTTCGGACTTTTGTATGTTTGGATGTTTCGGTTGGTGATATACTTTGAACTTCTGTTTTTTCTAATATAGATATATAACTATATATTACTGCAAAAACTTCGTTAGTGAATATGAAGTTTGTTCTTTGTGAATTATGATATTGTATGCTTTTGATATATTCTATGAGTACTTTTGAAAATTCTAATTCAATATCGTCTGTTTGAATTACATATTTACGATGGGCTGTATTTGGTGTGCTGAATTCTATGGTGTAGATTCCATATTGTTGTGTTAGATTACATATGTCTTTCAAATAATGTTCAATAATTTGTCTTTTGATTTTTACATCTGGGAGTTCTGCTTTGCATGGGCTGATTCCTGGTTCAAACAAATTTACGAGTAAGTACTGACAAAATCGTGTCTGTCCTCTATCATCGAGTGAATCTATAAGAAAAGGGAAAAACTGCTTCTTCATCTGGACTTTCGTAATTTTGAGTGTGGCTCATTTTTCGTTTGATGACTGTTGGTATATAACTATCAATGTGTCTAATTGGTTGATTCCAATTATACAGGTGTACTGGTTTGTGTTTATTGCTTTTTTATTCTTCTTCCTCTTTTTGATGAATTTGAAGTTGTTTCTGAGTCGGAAAAATTTAATTGATCATGGATGGGACAATTTTTATCTATTGATTCTTTTTATATTGAATAGTTCGTCTAAACTGTTGGTCTCTGATTCAGAAAATGCGTTTCTATTTTTTGAAAATCTTTTTCGTGTGATTTGTCTTTGTTTGTTTATAATTTTTCTTTTTATTGTTTGTCGTTTTGTTCTAATGTATCCAACTGTTTGTGTATGAGGAGTGATTACAAGATCGTATTTTTGGTCATCTTTTTCACAATTGTGTAAAAAGATTGTTTGTTTTTTTCCTAAATTTTTGAACGACATAAGGTTTAGGATGGGGGATGCAAGAAGTTGTTAATTATTTCTATTTCCTTAGACTGTTAGCCCTTACGATTTTTTGGTTAGCTTAACCTGGGTCTTTTTGTTCAGGGTTGGAGAGAAAAGTATATCGATTCCGGAGAATGATGTTCTACTTTCTCGTGGCTAGCCTAAGTTGAGGTGTTAACTTACTTAATCTTACTTAGGGGTAGTGATTGTGTTCAAGGGTTGGAGAATAGTAAATCGATCCACAAGGTTCAGGTATAATTAGAACGCAAGCAGTTCGTTAGATACTATTTTAAACTTACTAAGTCTAAGATCTATCCTGGGTCTGGGAAGAGGAGGGTTTAAGTGAAGGATGAATAACCGAAGTTCTTCACTGTTTATCTTAATTTGAATGGTTAGTTTTATTGAAAAATTTCTATTAGTCCTTGCTTGATTCAGTGCTTACAACATAAAAGTTTCAAAGTGTTATCGTTGATGTTCTTTTCAGCACTTACAAATAAGTGGGTTGTTAGTTAGATGGATTATAATTGGTTAATTTTAAATATTTTACAGTGGTAAAATATCCAATTTATCCAATTATAAAATGTAGTATAGATAAGGTTCCAGAAGCCAAAAAATCAATCTCTTTGTTTGGAAACAAAAACACTATCAAAAGAAATGAAATGTACCGAATTGAATTGAATAACGTTTTATAGGTTAACTCTATAGCACATCGAAAATGTACGAATTTAACAAAAAAAATGAAAAAAAAACTTCCTATTTAACACGACATTTATTTAACCACCTTATTTAAGTCGGGGACTTAAGCAATCAACTGATCGTCATATTGACTATTGAAAATTGGCGATAAAAAGTTGAGTTCTATGAACGGAAACAACAAAATACTATCAAGAAAATATAACAAGACTCCTTGTATCAGGGCGAAGCCTTGAATGTTCCTACTGCCTTTTAAGGTCAATGGAGCAGTAATAACATAAAAAATTGTAATGATTGTAACAAAATAAAACGAAAAAGTTATCTGAGATTAGAGGTTTTTTGTGAAAATTATCCCTCCACACGCCATATCAAGTACAAAATCAGAGATTTCGCGCCTTTTAACAAAATAAGTATGACAAATAAGCTTCTTTCGACAAATTTGGAGCGATTTCTAAGACGGATAAAATCTCCGCTTATGCGTTATTAGCGCAAAATATATCGCGCGTTAATTGTCCCAAATTGGCCAAAATGACAATCCCTAAACCCCCATTACTTCATGAAAAAAGATCACAGGTAAAATATCTTTTCAAATTTAATCTCAAGACAACAATACCTTTCGAGTGATATAGAAAAAATTCCGTCAAAATGGCTAGTTAAAAAGTCAAAATTTGTCTGAAAAAAACCCATTCCAAGCACAATTATTCCGTTACTTTCAAATTCACCAGAAAAAGATAATTGCTAATGTAAGGCAACAACCGGTTTAAACAATCAAAATAATTTTCATCGTTTTCACAAATAAGGGTTAAAAATCAAGTTTTTTGAATAGAAAAAAATACGAACAACAACTGAAGTATATCTATTGAAACGAATATTGGTTGTTTAGACAAACACGATAGCGCACCAACAATGGGAGAATTTGACATGAATATTACTCATCAGAAAAAAAATAATTGTCGATTTAACACGACGGTTGACTTAGGCAACCAAATTGATCTTCATAATGATTTTTAAAATAAGCATACAAAAAAATTATATGAAAAGAAATAAAAACGATCAATAAAAAAATGGAATATTGACAGTATTATGTCAATTTTTGTATTTCTGCGGGACAGACAAAAATTGGTGCTGTAACTCTTTCGACTTTCGTAACGAAAGTAACGGATTATTTGTGCTCGGGGTGGGTTTTTTCTTCAGACAAATTTCGACTTTTTAACAATCCTTTTTTGACTGATTTTTTTTTGATATCAGTCGAAAGCTATTCTTGTCCTGAGCTTAAGCTTGAAAAAAAAATTTCACCTGTGATCATTTTTCGTAAAATTATGGGGGCTTAAATATTGCTATTTTGTCCAATGTGGGACAATTAACGCGCAATATTTCGCGCTAGTAACGCGTAAGCGGAGAGTTAATCCGTTCCAAATCATTCCAATTTGGCTGAAGAAAACCTGTTTGCCATAATTGATTTGTTAAAAGGAGCAAAATTTATCACTTTGTATTTCATGTGGCATGTGGGCGGATGTTTTGAAAAAATCTCAATTTTTTTAAAAGAGATTTTAGTTTAACTTCATTACATTTAATTTTTTATGTTATTACTGCGCCATAGACCTTGAGAAGCAGTCGGAACATTCAGGGCTTCGCCCTGATACAATCAGCCTTGTTGACCTTGTTGTATTTCCATTCTATAAAGTTTAAGCAAGTTTAATCATAGAATTTTCTGTTGAAATGGAAATAAACGAAACACAAAACAAAAAAACTTTATTTGAGGATTTCTCAAACTAGCATGATAAAGAAGTGGTTTACTTACAGAATTTTAGCACAAGTAAACACACTAAGTTGAGCGCAGCTATTTGACTGCAATGCAGTAAGCGTTTTTCTTAAGACCAAATAAAATCAAATAAAGCATTTCGTTGCAAGTAATCACAAAAATATTCAATTGCTTTTGGTTGAGACGGCGTATGTTTTGATTTCCAAATAAGTCGAGCGAGTATAAAAAAAATCCGAACACGTAATTTCAAAAATAGCCAGCTGTTTCTTCCAAACAAATATTGTTCAAACGGCAAATTTATGGTTCTTTTCACAGAGTAGTCGAGTGTGATGCAGCTCTATTGATTCGTTCAAAACTCATCTTCAAAGCTGGTATGTAAAATTCATCACCAAAAGTAAGAATTAAAAAAAATAAATACAAGAACCATCGGATGAACATATATACCCCATTCGGTTTCAGAGTGAATAATTTCGACAAACTTTTTGCGCCGCAAAAATTTTTTTTCACAAACAGGCCAAAACAGGCGTTTTTAGGCAATTTTTGAACAATTTTGACGAAAAAAATCGCATTTTTTTGGCGCGCGCTCCCCCTCAAAAGTAGTATATTTTGGCGCCTAAGACGCCTTTAGAAATTTTTGAAGGTCAGTCAGCCAAAAATGGATATCTCATATTAGTACAAAGGGGGGACCCTTTGGGTCAGCAGGTGGTCGAATTCCTGAGGTTTTTTCGATTTCATAATCAGTGTTTTGAAGGTTGATTTAGTCAGCTTTTAGGAACTTATCACAAGTTGATGGACGAATGTGGAATTTGTCTGGATACCATTCAGAACGGGTTGACTTTGGACTGTGGGCACACATTTTGTCGTGACTGCATTTCGCCTGTCTTGAACAAAGCAAAGCCGAAATGCAATGTTTGCAGATGCGAAATCACCCTCTTGGCCCCCGGTGTAAAACGACTTGAAATAAACAGGAAGCTCGATGAGGTAGGTAGATTATATTTTGTATGGAAAACTTTTAAAATGGAGGTCATCACATTAAATCCATCCCCTATTGATATTTTTTAAGTCATTCCAACGAACTGTCAGTGTATGATAAAGCTCGCACATCAAGCTGAACCGGTAATTGTTATTAACTCAAGCAAACACATACAGATCGAACGTTTGAGTTTAAAAAATGTCCCTTCTTTTCACATCCCAGAAACCAAAACTTTTGAATAGTTTACAAACTTTATCAAGTTTTAGAAAAATTTATAAGTAATGAACATGTTATGAACAGCTCATATATGTCGTATTGTGTAATTTAGTTCATTTCTTAAGCTGTCAATCAAATGTTCACTCTTGGTGCTAGACTAATTGATTAGCAGGTATTTGTCCTTGGATCTGTCTGTCACCCTTGGATATTGTTTCTAACCACTCTTGATGCTAACTTTGCAAGATTAAGTTACTGTATTATTATCTCGGAATTAACAATTGCTCGACGACAGTTTTACCTTCTCGACATGGCGCAGTCAGCAGGATTAGGTGGGGGAAAGAATCCACTGGGCATCACGGGATTTTGGCCAGCAAAATGCACGGAACCGCCAATGATGTGGGAATTCTGGATCAACAGATTCCAATGGGGAATGGTCGCCAAACACTCGCTAAATCCAATGAATTTTTATTTCGCCGCGAATCTCACAGCCGCGCAAATTACTGACTTGCCCGCGGAAGTAGACGGAAAAAATCGGCGGGAATCTGAAATGGTGTTGATTTCGAACCTGTACTTGTGTTTGGGGGAGAAGGGGCAGGATGAACTGCACAAACGACGACCACACCTGGACCTTCAGACAATTCGGTACCCACGGATGATAGACGCGCTGGAAGCGGAATTCAAGAAAGAAAGGAACGAAACATATGAAACGTACCAACTCCTTTCTCGTAAGGAATCCAAATAAAATCGGAACCAGTTGGAATAATCCGGGGAGGTTACCGGAACAACCGTTCAAGGGGCCGGGGCTCTTACCAAGGCCGAGGATCGTATCGAGGAAGAAATCCCCTAAATAACAACAAATGTTATAATTGCGATCAGCAAAACTTCACCAGGGAACATTTGGATAGATGCCCAGCAAAAGGGGTTACATGCAATTTTTGCCATAAAATAGGCCATTTCGAAAGAACCTGCAGGGGCAAACGTGGAAACCAACGAGGACAGGAAGCCGTAGGAATGATACGGGAGAATGTGGACGATCATCAACTAGAAAACTCTGCGGACGAAGAAACATCACAACACGCAAGTTCCATTGGATGGGTCACTAAGAATCCAGTGGTGCACTCGTGGGACTCCAGCAGTTCTGACGGGGACTATATGGTCATGGCCATAAAACGGAGAGGAGTGACAGAATTGAAAGTTGCTGGGGCACAATTGCCGATCAAAGTCAATGGCAAACCTACTCGCGTGTGGATCGATAGCGAATCCCCAATCTCAATCTTTACGATCGGGGAATTACGGAAAACATTGGGAACATCAGGAGTAAAACTGGACAATCTGACGGAGGAGGATAATGCTTTTCGGGATTATGGAAACAATCCCCTACAGATGATTGGAACAATGGCAGTAACAATCCAATCCAACGGTTGGAAGATCCAGGCAAGGATAAAAGTGATCGGGGGGGAACCGACCATCAATAATTGGAAGGGATCTGATGCCCCAACTAGGACTCCAGTTGGTGCAGCAAACACCGGGGGACCAAATCATGTCCATTGGAGAAGGCAGTCACGACGCACTGGAACTAGAGGAACCAGAGGGGGAGTTGGATTCGTGGCAAACATACTTCAGTAAGCAGTTTTCAAATCTTTTTAGCAGGGTAGGGAAAATAAGAAACTACAAAGTAGCAGCTGAATTTTTTGAAAACCTCACCCCAGTACAGCTGAAAGGGCGTCGAGTCCCGATTTCGTTGCAAGAAAAAGTCGATGCGAAAATTGACAAATTATTGAAACAGGGTCATATCGAAAAATTATCTGAATGCTCGGACAAGTATTTTGTGTCCCCAATAGTAATAACCGTAAAGAAGGATGGATCGGTAAAACTGGCACTAGAGTCGAGGGAACTAAATAAACAAGTGCATAAGAATAAATACCAGATGCCGAATATCGAGGAACTAATGGACACGGTTGGACAAACGATTAGCGAAAAAAAACAGGGAGACCTATATTTCACAACAATGGATTTAACATACGCTTATGGCCAATTGCCATTAAATGCGGAGACGAGCGTCCAGTGCAACTTTTCGCTAATTGGAGGTCGTTCGACGGGTACATACCGGTTCAAGACCGGATTCTATGGCCTCATATGCCCGCGGAATTCCAACGCGCAATGGATTGTATACTCGCCGAATACCCGCAAGCGCATGCGTTTATCGATGATATTTTGGTCGTAACCAAGGGAACAGCAATAGACCACATAGCAACGGTGGAGAAAATTTTAAAGAAACTGGATCGGGAAAATATGTCTTTAAAATTGACAAAATGCAAATTCGCCCAACGAGAATGCGAATGGCTAGGACATAAAATAACTCCGACTGGAATTACTCCCATGGTTAGAAAAACAGAACCAATAGAAGCGCTAACGCCGCCACGGACTTTGTCGCAATTAAAATCGTTTATGGGGTCGATACATAGTTTGCATAAAAATCTGCCGGCGCTGGCCGAATCATCGGCACCGCTGCGGCCCCTATTAAGCAAAAATAACGAATACATTTGGACACCTGAATGTCAGAACGCGTTCGAAAATCTGAAAAAACAAGTTTCAAACATTGTTGAATTACGGCACTTTGATATCCACAAGGACATTCGCATAGTGTGCGATGCAAGCCATAATGGGCTCGGCGCGGTGTTGGAACAGTTGGGACCAGAAGGATGGCGCCCAATTTCGTTCGCGTCGCGATATCTTAACGAGGCGGAAAAGAAATACTCAACAAACGAATTGGAAATGTTGGCAGTTGTGTGGGGGGCTGAATACTTTAGAAATTACATACTGGGCCGAAGTTTTTTGATCGTTACCGATCATAAAGCCCTGATATCCCTTTTGAACGGTAATAACAAGAAAAATAAAACGATGTTTAGTCGTTTAACTCGCTGGTTAGATCGACTAATTCCCTTTGATTTTCAAATTGAGCATAAACCGGGGGCTAAAATTGGTTTGGCGGACTATTTATCAAGGCATCCAAGTAAAGAAGCAACGCCAATTAGTACGTATGATAATATGTTCACGGTGGCAGAGATCAACCTAATTCGCACCGCGCTTGGCTTTAATACATCCAGTGGACCTAATACATCCAAGGGACAAAGCTGTACAGCGAATAGAAAGCTTTCTATAAATAGACTGGAAGTTTCGTCATATAACAATTCGGTAGAGGGCGGGAAAACACGTAAGCGGAAATCAACCAATCAGATGCAACCACGTGGTTTAAGCCGACGGCCAAGCGACATGCGCACTGGATTAGTTGGGGCTATTATTCATTCAGAACACAGTTGTTCAAAATTATTCAATTCCAATCTTCAAAATCAGAATATTCTTACATCCAGCCCTCAAAATCTTAAACCGAATAACAACATGGACCGAAACATGCGAAAATGGCAGAAAGTTCTCAAACAGCATCCAAGCCTAAATAGTAGTAGCGACGAAATCGAAGAATTGCCCCCAAATGTATCACTCGAAGCCATTACCAAAGAGACAAGATCGATACGCACAAATACAACTCTCTCGTTACCCTCGGAATTCAAAGGAGAAACAGTACCACCAGTGGACCCAAACCTTGTATGTATGTCAATTATCCCGCGAAACTGTAAGATCGTTAATAAAACTACTGCATTACCTGACCTGTTTAACTTAAAATTCATAGAATCAAATTATGTATCGGACCCCCAACTGAGCGCTTTTCGCGATCTCATTGTTACACAAGACCCGGAAATACATGAAAAAGTTACTCGAATGAGCCGCTATCACGCTCAATTCGTCAATGATTTCTCAGTGAAGGAAAATGTAGTTTGGATGGACGATAAATTAGCAATCCCAATTAACCTCCAGTCAGCAATCAATAACAGAATACACGCGTACCATCACGGAAAGTCAAATATGTTCGATGCCGCAAAGGACGTCTGGTATCCCTATATCTACCGCTCAATAGCCTCCATTGCCGAGGGGTGCCCTGAATGTACTGCAGCCGGTAAGAACTTAAAGACGCTAATAGGTAAAAATCAACTGGTATCTGTACCAGAACCAAAAGAACCGAATGAATCTGTCCAATTAGATTTTTGGGGCCCCATTAATTACTTAAATGAATCCTCTAAATATGTGCTCGTAGCGGTCGACCGGTTCTCTCGTTGGCCATCGGCAATGATCTGTGGAAATAATCGTTCGGACAAAATATTGAAATTCTTGAAGAGTTATATATCAAACCACGGGGTGCCACGGAAAATCCATATCGATCAGGGAACTAATTTCATGTCAAATGCGGTCAAAGCTTTTTGTAATGGGGAAGGCATTGAAATCATTAAATCACCTGTAAACGACCATCGGGCAACCGGGTGTGTCGAGCGTACTATTGGAAGTCTTAAGAATTCAATCCTTACTTTCGCTCACGAAAAAGATCCTGAACCCTTGGAGAAAATGGTCGAACGGGCCCTTGGTGCTCTCAGATTCTCAAAAAACTCAACACTTAGAATTTCGCCTTTTGAAGCTCATCATGGTAGAGAAGCAAACACCGTCTTACGGAATCTTACTAAAAAACCATCGCTCCAGAATCTGGATTGGTCACGGGTACTAAAAACGAAAAATGCTTGTTTAGATAACGACGATCCTAGTGTGCAAGATATGCCCCATCCAGCCGACACAAACTGGGGTGTACGATCAGATCTCGACTATGACATTAAAAACAGAACTCATGCACGACGCCTTACTGTGGATCAAGCTGGGAATCAGGACGACGAACCGTCGGTACGCAAAAGTTCAAATCCCGCAGGACAACCGGGACCATCCGGATCGTTGTTTCAGCGCACTGGAAACAAAAACTTAAAAAGGTATAGACCAGTTCATTCTAAAATTAGATCTGAGAGTGCACATACACTGACGTTAGATAATGGAGTTGTGCTTAGGAAATCGGGAGTGGCCACGAAACCCATACCGAAGAAAAAATCAAGAACCGCAGCCAAATCCGTACTACCGGTACCAGTGATCGAAGCTAAAAAACGGGCTACTCAAAAAACACTACCACCGCCAACTCCGCGCGACGTGAAGGAACGATGGAACAAGCGGACTGCGGAAAAGAAACGGGAGAGGACCGGGCGCCGATTCGAGAAAATTACTCTGAATCGGAGGACAGTGAGGATCTACCGATTATCTCGGTAAAACGTACTCAACAACAAGCAACGACCACTCCGGAAGCACAAGTAGAACGCGCAGCAACAGCAATACCAGAGGCCGAAGCTGAAACCGATCAGGACACTATTCCGGCACTAGGCGGCGAGTTGGATGCTCCAAATCCAGGGGTGCAAGCAACGGAGAATCCAGGGGTGCAAGACCCAGCAAACCCGATAACCACCGGCAAGAAAAAGGGAGCCTCATCCAGGAAAGCTAGGCTGGTCTCTTACAGTAGCCAGGGGGACAGCCAAGACGAGACATCATCCACAACGTCTAGAAGAAGTGGGCGGAAAAAAACGGCGGTCACCAAAATGGGGGGCGTGATGATCGACTTTATCAATCAGAACAAGGAAGGGAAAAATTGATCGTCGAATCCTTGAAACTTCAAACTTTGTTAAACTGTTATAACCCAGGGAGAGGGTGAGTCACTACTGGCTTAAAACTCAATCGTTATTCACTATCAGTGATCCTTTAGTTATTAACAAAAAGTCGTCATTTTTAAAGTCTGAGTTGTATACTGTAACATGGAGCTAGTAATTCTTTTCAACTATCTGCAATCAATCAACCACCTATTTTCTAACCATCTATTTCAGTCATTAAAGTAAACCTGCGAAATTATTTCTACTTAACTAAAGTTTTCATTATCGAAGGAGAAGTGTCGTATTGAGTAATTTAGTTCATTTCTTAAGCTGTCAATCAAATGTTCACTCTTGGTGCTAGACTAATTGATTAGCAGGTGTTTGTCCTTGGATCTGTCTGTCACCCTTGGATATTGTTTCTAACCACTCTTGATGCTAACTTTGCAAGATTAAGTTACTGTATTATTATCTCGGAATTAACAATTGCTCGACGACAGTTTTACCTTCTCGACATATATCAGGCCGAAGTCGTGATTATTCGGATTGCACTTCAAGGCCAATTTAAAGAATTTTTGGTTAAATGATTTTGTTTTCGTTTTTTTTCCGTCAATTTATCCCCCCTCTCAAATGAAAACTACGAAGGGGTGTATTTAGCGTCTTGTATTCTAATACGCAATGTTATAAGTACGCATTATGTTATAAGCGAGCAATATAACGCGCGTTATTTATGCCCAATTGGCCAAATTCGCAATTTTCAAACCCCGTTAACTCACAAAAACGATCACAGGTAAAATTTGAGCTCAGGGCCACAATTTTTTTCAGATGGTAAGAAAATTTGTCAAACATGCTTAGTTACAAATTCAATAATTGACTGAAGAAAAAAAAACACCCCAAATATGAGTAATTAGCACTGTCTTCGAAAGTCGGAACAATATCCGAGGCAGAACTAACCACTACACAACTCTCAACATGTCAAAGCACTCCCGACAACTAGCAAAAAGCCGTTAATCATAATAATAAATAAAATGGGTATAGACAAAACTGCACGTATACCCAACATGAAAATGGATTCGACCACCTGGCGACCCAAACGGTCCTTTATGGGTGGGCAGGTTTTTCAATACATACTAACTTTGCGGGGTGAGCGCGCGCTAAAAAAAACTTATTTGGTCAAAATTTACCAAAAACTGATTAAATCGCATTTTTGGCCTATTTTTCAAAAATTTGCCTGGCATAAAACTTGGTCGAAATAGGGTCGTTAAAGTGATTACGAAGAAGTCAGAAAGTCCTTTAGTTTGACCAAAAAAAGGTCGACAAAACTTAAACATTTTTTGCATATCCACTCCCCCCTTCGATAAAATCATCCTAGAACAGCCCCTGTCAGTCTAAAATTGTCTGAAAAAGAGCTAGTTTGATCTAAAACTAGACTGAGCTAGATTTAAAGAAAGTTTGAGATGGTGAAAAATTTGAACTCATCTAAAGAAAAAAAAAACACACCAATTACAATTATAGCTTCACTTTCTTCGGTAAGGGAAGCAATGATAGAAACTATCTGGATTTGCTTTAAAGAGAAATTTTCAAAATACACTATTCAAAATACAATATTCAAAATAAAATAGCACATTTTTGCCTCATTATACATACAATTATTAAAAAGTCTCTTTAAAAAGTAAGAAAAGTGTGAGCCTTGACTACTTTTTTTTTAAAATTACGTCGAGGATGAGGCAGCAAAATTTTCAGGAAAAACAACCATGAAAATTGAAATGACATTTGTTGTTTCTCCTCTTCTAAAGCAAAAACAAAATTTTTAATATTAGTTTTAAACCTAGGTACCGACAGCAGATTTACCGTGGTCCACTTCAATTCAATTGGTCCAAGAAGATGGAAACAGGCGGCCCTTTTGGTCAAGACCGGCTTTCGACTCCAATGGCGTTATTTATATCATGTACGAACAAGGAAACTCTAAGAACCCTTGCAGTTTGGAACAAACGCTGTTTGAAGTTGAGTTCGTGAAAGGATCCATACGACTTCTCAGGAGTTTCGTGTGGCAAAAGCAACGGAACCATGACGGTTCTCGTTTGATTGGAGTTGTAATCTGCGACGAGCAGCTCTACGGAACCATTAGATACGGAAATGACACATACGGAATTGAAGTCATCGATAAAGTTACGCTAGCCACAATCCAAAAGTTAGACCTGGGTAACATTAAGTTCAACCTGTCTCAGCAAGGAAGAATCGACGTTTCCATTCTCGCTACCGGAAACTGGTTGTTGATTTTTCAAAAAGTATCATCACTCAAGCGGCTGGTGATAATATGTCAAAACAACAAAGTTGTGGATAAAAGAGAAATCTCTAAAAAAGATAAATTCAAGTCTTGCATTACCAGAATTCGAGGCGACTTTATCTACATGATCGAAAGGAAAAGTAGCGCAGTTCTAGTAATACAGTGGAAATTTGGAAACAGCGTGTTGAACAAATTCAAACAGGCAGAAATAAATTTGCCTGACACAAATCCAGTATTTTCATTTACAGTAAATGAAGTTAATTCAGCTGCTTTAATTGTGACTCTGACATCGGATAAACTCAGCGCGATTAATATCTACGAGGTCAACTATGATAAATTCAATCCCGAACAAAAAGTATTCGAGTCGAAAAGACGACTTCACTTGGGTGAGAAACTTGTATGCCTGTTTCCATCACCTCAAACGGATTATATTTTGGCCATCAATGGCTCACAGACCCTTCGCACTATTTCTTTGAGTACCGATGAAAATACGCACAGTGGCTCGAAACATGTAGCTGAAACTCCCATGGGTTAGTTTTCCCTACTTTCAAGGAGTAAATTTAGTTAAGTTTTTCTGAAGTCCTGAAACACGTGATATGTGATTATCGACTTCAATAAAAAAATTGAACTAAAATTTACCAAAAAAAGTCAGCAAAAAAGTTGAGAAATTGTTTTTATCACGTAAAAAAGTTGTCTTTTGAAAATGTTTACCTTAAAATCTAAATCAAGGACGACTCTGGCTAAGATTGTAATCAGTAGCGTGCAGAGGAATGGAGCCCCCCCCCCATACCCCCTCCCCTATCACTTAAGGTTGCCAAAACTTTAAGGTTACGAGTGCCCACTTTGAAGCTATTTTACGGCAGAAGTTTCTCCCGTCTTACCCTAAAATTTTTCTAATGGTGCCTATAAGAAATTTAGGAAAACCGAAATTTAGGAAAACCGCTCCCTCCACTGTAAAAACAACATTTTTGCTCTTTTTTAGAAAGCGTCAGCTTGGAAAAAAACTCTGAAGTGAAGGTCAGACTTAGCAATCTCGCCGACGACTTCGATCATTTAAGAGATCAATTCCCAGCAGCAAATACTTCAAACGAAGTGAAGAGATTGAACTCTTTGGTAGTCAAAATTCAAAAACAGCAGCAATCAATTGAAGCACAAATGTCGACAAACGGGGATAAGTTAGAAAAAGACATAATTTTCATCGTCAGGTCAATCGAAGACCTCTTCGGATTTATTCGGTTCAAGTTGCGCAACAACGAAAAAAAGTCACGTTGGACGGAGGAGAAGTTGACTTTATTCTCAGATTCCGAAGGTAAGTACTTGGAAAAAAAGACGAACGACCTTGAAAATCAGATGAAACACCTGATAACGATCTAAAATGACCTTTAGTTATAATAACCTAACCGTATGACATATCATATTGACTTACAAAAATTATGAGATCGACACTAAAATGTATGTTGAACTATAAAAAGCCATGGAACTTTTCAATTTCATCTACCATGTTATCTCAATTCAACCAAATAACCGAAATTTTCAGAAATACTTGCTTTCTCATCTTGTAAGAACTGATGGTTCGCAGAAAAGTTAATTAACTAACCGTCATATTAAATTATATTTATATTGCAACAAAAAATATATATAACTTAGTTTGTTAGTCTTTTTCTGTAAATATAGTGGTAAATTGAGTTAAATGCTTCTGATATAAAATATAATAAAATTATTTGGAAAACTGTATCCCATATTACTCATACATCTATTTAAAGTATCATTGTCAGAAAAACAAACTCAGATGCGAAGCTGAGGTTGTCACCACTCATTTTGATGACTATCGCACAATGCAATTGCCAGATTTGAAAGTGCGTTGATGAAAATTACTGAGCGTTAACTATGCATACAAAACGCCTGTTGAGTCTAAAAAATTGACACCAGAAAATACAAAAATGAGATTTGTTTGAGAAGCAGAATCGATGTTCCATTAAATTAAAATGATTTAAAATCAAAACTTTCAGCTATAATGAGCATAGAATTGCTACGAACAAGTCCAAATAAACTAAGCTCGGGTTGAAAACCCATCGTTAATTATCGTTTTTACTATAGTGTCCCAATGATCGCTATTTTCCAGCGCTGATTCATGTAAAATTCAGAATTTTCATCATAGCTAAACCTGCAATATTTCAGAGCTATTTCAGCAATAATTCGGTACAAAAACAGCGCTAGAACTTAAGAAATTATGGTAGCGTTCAAATGAGAGTGTGAATTGATAATACCTAAATTTTCAATATACCTTGTGGTTCGTGACGCAGAGGTAGCATTTATGCTCATTACGCTGATGGTTGGGGGAAAGAATTTCGGTAGTTTGTTAACTTTGCTCCTTTTTCTAGGTTTTAAAAATTGTTTCATCGCTCACAATAACCCAAATTAGCAATATACTATCGATAAATTTTGCTATTGTAGCAATGAACATCGATAATCCGTCAATCGCGATCGCTTTTTTTTCTTTTTTTTTCATCGCTAACTTTTAAGGTGAACTCAACCCGGGAGACTAGAAGAAAATGCAGAAGAAAAAATTGTCATCAACTTTTATTTTTTTATTCAGCAGAATCTTTTAGTGAGTATGAAAAATGAAAACTTAAAATACAAGAATTGCAAAAAATAGCAAATGAAATAATACAGACACCATAAATAACGAGAGGAAAACAATAAGTGGACTAGAAGCAAAAATCAAAAACCAACTGGATTTACTAATTGATTTGTTATTGATTTTTTCACAAGTGTTATAACACTCTCATATCTTAAGAAGGCCAATCAAAAAAAACTAGAAATTTTCGAGCAAAGCATTATAAAAAGGAAAAAAATAGACAAAAAATGACGAAGTTTTAGTTTTTCAGGTTTTTGAAAAAAGATTCAGAGAGGTTGATTTACCTTTTCAGAATTACTTTGTCAAAGTTAAAATTATATAAGAAGAACTAGAAGCTGAGAGGAAAAAAAAATAAAGTAAAAATGCCTAAAAAAATAAATCAGTTGAATATCAGCCGAAATTCACATTTGCACATTTGTAATTATATCATTTTGAACTTCCTTCTGAAAAGAAAACATTATATGAAAAAAAAAATTTTTGGAAAAAAATAGTCTAGTACCCGGTCAGTTGCAACACAACCTTATTCATTACAAGGGTAGAAAATTTTCGAAGAAAGTAGGCATTGCTGAGCAAGACCTTAGATGTATACTACTACTGTAACAAGTTTCATGCCCTCTGTTCATATTGTTAACCAACAACCAGCCGCGCAAACAATAGAGTTTTGCAAACAATACTGAACAGTCGTGCTTCTCTGCTCTCGGCTCAATTTATCGGAGAATTTTTTAATCATTTTGTAGGCAAAATACAGTAAGGCTTGAAAACAAACCGTTTTCACAAACAGGTATGATTTGCTCTAAAATTTATTTATGATTTCCTTGAAAACAATTCCCTTGAAAAAAAATGTTGTGGACTTTACTTGCTTTCGCTTCATCCGAAGTCAAATAAAAAATATCAAAAGAATGATTTTTTATGCGCTGAAAACGCGTAATTCAAGAAAATATTGTGAGAATTTCATAGACCAACACAATTATTTTGTTAGAATTTTATAAGCAGGTTAACATAAAACGAAATATGCTGTAAGATTTTTATACATAGAGGCAAAGCGTAATTTTGCACCCTTTGCGATACTACATAAAGAGCATTGCAAACTATCAGATAAGAAAGAAAAGGATTAGTCTATTAGTCCAAAGAAAGTAAAGTTCGAAAAAAAACAACTGAAACTCAAATTCTTTTGCGGAAACCTCGTCCACAATCACAATCAACGGCGTTTATTGAAATTTCAAAAACATTGAGCGTTAACTGAGCCGACAAAAGCTGGGCAAATTCCCGTAGAACTGAAAACAAATTTGACTTTGCGTCAAAATTTGATTACCTTTTCCGTACAAACTTGATTTCATGTAGAATTATTTTCGACTATAATTTCTTTTGTAAGATAAAAAGAGCATAAACATGTGTTTCCTTTGAAACTATTCAAAACTAGGTTTCTAAGCCGACGAAACATCAGCCAAAATCATTTGGGCAGAAAAATGTTTTAGAGCGAAAAATAAAATAAAATAAAAATATACGAAGCCAATGTTAGTAAATTTACAAACAGCAGCTGTGAACCAAAACATCAAACATCTGAATATTTTTGAATTGAACCTAAAATTACCGTTTCTACTTTTGACTCTTCTGTGAATTTTTTTTTCGCTGAAAAAAATCTAGGGTACGATTGCAATACCCTTCGCAAAATTGCAAAACCAGGGGCGGATCTGAGATTTTCTCGATCTGTGTTTTACCCAGCTCTCGTAAAACGTTATAGAAATTTCATTTTGACAAAAAATTCTGCGCGCAGACAAATTTTCTGAAAACAGGCCAAGCAGGCCAGAATGGTTTGAATTCCAGCAGAATCACAAGCTTCATAACATGTTAAGCATTAAATTATTTACAGTAAAAAATAAGTCCAAGGAAGCTAGAAACTTTGCCCAAGACCAGCCACAGGCAGGCATTCACAGCTCATACTCTTATTTCTTGATGGGGAAAGTTGAACTGATTTCATTTCAACCGTTTAAATTCATTTTTTCACTGTGGCAGTGGAAGCAAAAAATTGTACAACCAAACAGTTCCGGAACTTGCTAGTCGTAGGCCCCAGTAACCGGTGTATTCAAATGTTTGAACGTGTTTACGTTATGAATATTGCCTCTTCTAATTGTAACGTGTGCCTACAGTCTCCATAACACCTGTAGAACAAAATGGAGGCTTTGAAACATAGGGAACTCAACTGATCCCATGCTGCAGTAACCGGTGAAGTTTATTGCCTAAATCAGTATCACACGAAAGTATACCACGTGTACACGATATCTAAAAAAACTTTACTAACATGACAAAACTTCGCCCACGGCTTAGTGTTAATTCATCAAACATATTGAAATAATGCGTTATTCTGTTATTTCCCCTATCCAAATTGAAAAAATGAAACAATTTTTTTTGCGTTAGCTCTGGCTTTTAACACGTTAAACATCTCAGTCTTACTACTTCCGTAAACCAGTGAGATTAGAACTTTTAAAATATATATTTTGTGATTACTTCAAAATATAATTATAGAATGCACGTTTAAACACGGAGGGAAGGACTTAGGATTCATCAAAAGCTAAGAACTTCATGGAAGCTAGTCGATAAAAAGCGACAAAAAACCAACAAACCCAAAAATATGAAAACATAGCAAACAAAAAGTAGGACAAGTGACAATAGTTTAAACTTTCAGTTTCGCAGAAAACAATCAAATCACCAACATGCACTCTAAGTTTTAGGAAACTCTTAGTGTTTTAAGTTTTCATTTAAGTTGCCCAGTTTGAGAAAACTAGATTCAATAGGTAAATTTTTCATTTCTCTGCAGATTTAATGTGCCTTCCATTTAGCAATAGAGTTTACATTCAATTTAAAAAAAATCCAAAGTTGTGTCGCCAAAACTCCAACTTAAGCGTGATAAGGGCTTTTATCGAAACAAAAATTCAAAACCCATATATAAAAAAAAATTTGAAGTTCGTCACTAATGAAAGACATTTTGAAGAAAACAAAACAAAAAAGACCAGTTGCAGCGTTGAATAATCATACGAACAAAAATAGCAAAATGACAACCAAGCCGGCAATATTCGTTTTTACGGTCGTTGAGCCAGATAAGAATGATGTCAAAAGTTCCAGCATTAAAATTTTTTGAAACTTGAAAACTTTAGGCTACACTTAAGTATAAAAATTAATTTTGTCGTTTAGACGACGCAAATTGAGACAATCAAAACCATAACATAAGGTAGAATCCGATTGAGACGAGGACAAAATGTCACAGAAAATGTCTCACTATATATATATATATATAAATATATGTATTGAAAAGGAGCCTCGGAATACAGGAACAAAAAAAATTTTTGAACGCAGAGGCTCCACTTCGCCAACACAAGCGAGAAAAGGGCGGAAAATTGCTCTAAGGGAGTCAAAAGTTAAAAAAAAGAAACTGAGGTAGAACTGATTAAATTCTGTAGCGGATTTGAATGAATTTCCTGATTCTCCATACCTGATTCTTAGGAGAAGTACGGACAATACGCTTTTGCTTGGGAGATTAATCTCTACTTGGTTTTTTTTTCAAAAGTGGCGCGGACGATTTTTTAGTAAGGAAACGAAATCAAAAAATGGGTCAAATAACTTTCAAGTCCATACTAGATATTTAACAAAAATTGGAAACTTTCGCTTATGCAAGCTTATACCTTACAGCTTGCGATTTCGATTAGACCCTTGATCTTAGATTTTGCAAGGTTTTCAAAAGTCAAAATTTTTTTGCATTTTTTTCATCACAGACGCAAAGCTGCGCTTTGCAAACACAAGCGAGGAAAATGCAAAAAAATAGCTCTAAACGGGAAAACAAAGTGAATTAAGGAAACAATTTCAATTTCAAAACCCTTAATATCAATTTCAAATAGAAGTTTTCGCAAAAATGATAAAATTTCTATAACAAATGCTATAAATTTCGAAAATTGATTTTTCTGAAGTGCATATCAGTTTTTCTACATAAAGTAGGATGAAACAGATTACGGAGGCAAAATCTAAGCAACATGTTGAATTGAATGAATGATCAACCTTGAATGAATTTTAATGAATCAGCAGGTTGGGTTTTTTTTGAAAAAACATAGATTTCAAAAAACGGGCTAAATTTCGGACCTTTTCTACGTCCATTTTTTAAAACGCATCACTGATTTTTTCTTTCAGTTTATCTCTAATTTGGCAGGGTAGTTTTTATGAAAAAACAAACTTTTAAAAATTATTATAAAAGTCAAAACATATGATTGTTTGAGGTCATAACTATTTCATTCAAATTCATGGAATCGCCGCTCAAGGTAGGGAAAATCCCATGATTTGTTTTTTCGATTGAAACCTTCATCTCAGATTTGAGCATTTAATTTTTGAAAAATGAAAAAATTCAAAATAAATAGGTAAAAAATCCCTGTATTGAAACTTTCGAAGGCCGTAGATTGTGAAGTAAAACGAAAAAGATTAGCGAAATATGCAGGTAATTGGAAGAGCAACCGGTTTTTCCATTAGTCCATTGGTATCATTTTTTTGGTGTAACAAAAAAAAAACAGCAAACCCATACTTTTTCTTAACACCTGTTTTTTTTTCAAACAGGACCTACTACTAGCCACAAAAAAGTAGCACCATATGCTATTATACTGCCAATACTTAAATAGGATTAAAAATGATTAAATTGAAACCAATCATAAGCGCCAGCAAGCGAGCACTTTTAATTGCGTTTTAGATTGGAAGAAATTCTTTTTACTAATATACTACGCTTCGCTTGTATCAATTTTCTTCTACACCAAACTTTTACAAAAAAGAGGACCGAAGCTGCTTATGCAGACAAAACTTCTTAGTTCTTTGTTTTGTTATTTTTTCATTTATCTAAGATTTGGCAAAATAGTTCTGAAGAAAAGTCAAAAAATTTAAAAAACGAGCAAAATTCGAAAATTGTACACTTTGCAAGGTGAAACGTTTTTCATCAAAAAAGGGCGACACGAGTACTGCAGCTCAGATTCACAAAATCTGTTAATTGGACAACATTGTCGTAAGATTTGTCACGGTAGTTTTCTACATACAGTCAAAATTAAAAGGTTAAAACTAGTTTTCTTCACAAATGAGGCTCAGCAGCTTATGCCAGAGATATTCCCATAAAAAACTTGTTTTTACAAATGAAGGCTTTATCTGCAATGTGTCGTGGTAGTTTTCGAGAAAATTCTACAAAATTTAAAAATCCTCTACTCAAAACAGAAACTAGTCCCCCATGAACAAGTAACAGAAATATTCAGCTATGGAGCAAAAGTTAACCAAATATAAAATTGCAGATGCCACCAAATAATGGGTACCTTTATTTGCGACTGAGGTTGAAGAACAAAGAAAAAACCGTAATCCAAAACTACACTCTGCGTGTGTAAAAACAGCAATTTTCCCACTTTGCAGAACTGGCTGTGGCAAGTGATGTTGAAAGAAGTAAACCTGTACTTACACAACCGTTTGCTTTTCTAAATGCTACAACATCTATTGCAGATCTACAGAAAGGTCGCAATACCTTTGACATCGCAAATTATACCAAAGAGATCGATAGACAGATTTCACGTGGATGCTCTAATTTGAACTTCTGGGTCTGAATCCGTTTTGTCATTTACATGTCAGCAGAGTCCGAGTTACTCACTTGTAGTAATCTAGTTGTTGCGGCCATTGAAAATGGGACGAACTTTGTATTCGGGTGTGTTTTAGTTTTTTTTTTGTTTTCCACGCAAAATGAGGTACGACCAACAATGATCAGACTGGGTTGTATGAGAAATCACTTAAAGGCCTTTTAGTCCAAAAGTTCCAAAAATTTTCCCAGTGTTGAGAAAAACCGGTTTGAAATTTGATTTTTTTGTCTTAACTCGAGCGAATAAAGCAAGCAGGCAGTCTTTTTTGTTTTCCATGCAAAATCCGCTGCCACATTTAATCATTGGACTGGGTTGAATGATATATCATATTTACAATCTTTTAGTCGTGATTCGAACATCAAAAAAATTTGAAATTTTTTTTTTTTTCCAGTTGTCGAGGAAAAACCGGTTTGAATTTCTGTTTTTTCGTCTAATTTCGAGCTAGAGAGCAGGCTTACATTAGCTTATTTATGATTAATTTAAGCCTAGAAATTTTAGTTTACTCTAATGAAGCTTATTTTTGGAGTTTTTAGCTTCATCTTAGGAATCAAAAACTTCAAAAATTTGGGAAAAATTAAAAATTATTTTTTTTTGTCTTCAAAAAGTGTTTTCCAATATGCATATATTACAACGAAATAACTATGCTCTACTTTTTCGTTCAGATTTCTTTATCACACCAAGCCGAAAAAACGACACTAATTGGAAAAAACGACACTAAAATAACTTTGTTGTAATTTTTCAAGACTGGTCGGAACATTGTGCTACTTGCACAGTAACTGGCTATCCCTGTTTATCGTTTAATCCTTGTGCAAAAATGGAAGCATTCTCATGCTTCATCTTACGCACCACAAACTTTCCAGACTTGATTTCTTTTTTCTGCCATTGTCTCCGCTCGTGTATAGGTCTTCCTGATGTTCTCGCCTCGACATTAAAAATTGATTCCGAAAAATTCTGAACATTATATTGATAACAAATATTGAAACGGAAGGAAAATTAAAATACACAAAAACGTATAACCCTTACTACCGCGTCAGATACCAGATAGTATTAGAAGTCATTTTAATCATTTTACATACAAAAGCATTTACTACATCACATAAATAACATTTCTCAAACAATGTAAGTTTTTTCCTTCTCGATCAAATCGACTAACTTTGAAGCCCCAATAATAAATTTAACGTTGTCAGCACCAACTTTACAACACAAAAATAGCATACCTCGGTTGAAACACCATTAATTATAAACATTTATACATAACTTTTCAGAGCTCTTCAAGATCTCGGGATGGGGATGATTTGATAAGTATGTGCTTTTTCCATAATTTCATTTAAGGAGCTAGCAAACATTTTAGCTAGCCACAAGTCGATTATTGATTTTGAGTCCAGTAAAGTATGCCACTAATGGCATTCAAGTCTTGAACGAAGTTATTTGATGCGCCATCAATGATACGTCTCTTATATATGTAGTAAGTTTGACGGAGCGAATCCCAACATTTTTTCTCAATTTGATTAGTCACACACACGCACTAAACGACCCTTCTGACTTCAAAAAACCTTTTCAGGTAGTAGATTTGACCGATTGTCATTGTCACCAAAACCGCCGCTTCGAAGAAAGCCCAGAGAACAACTCGAGAGTTCGTATTCTCGTTAACTAAACATAACAAATAATGGCAATTGATTCCGAGGATTTCAAGCTTACACTGACAAAAACAATACTTAAGCCTAATACTTGAAGCTATGTAAAAATTAGTTTAGAAAACTGTCCACTTTTTTAAATTTGATACTTTTTACAATTACAATTTCTAAATTACTTTGATTATAAATTATAACTTACTCTGTCTGTGGACTCGTTCTCTCACTTCCATGTATTCCTGCTCGTGTTTGACATTTGTAAGGCCTCTGGATAGTTTTTCCACCATTTCTTTCAGCTTGTTGTGAGATGTTTCTTCGTCTGAACAAAAAATTTTGTTAAGCACTTAGAAATTAAACTTATGTCTCAGATGTATATTCTGAGCAGGGGCGGATTTGGGAGGGGTGGGTGGGGGGCGGACGCCTCCTCTCTCTCTCTCTTAGGGATTCGATCCCCTGCCGACCCAAAGGGTCCCCCTTTGTACTATTTTGAGCTATCCAGTTTTTGAAAAGGACACCAACTTTGGCGCCAAATTAAACTAATTTTGAGGGAGGAGCGCGCGCCGAAAAAACGCGATTTTTTGGTCTAAATTTTCCCAAAGTGCCGAAAAATGCCTTTATTTGGCCTATTTTTCGAAATTTTGCCTGCTTTGGCCAAACTAGGGTTTTTCGAGGTCTTTTTAGCGCTTTGGGAGAGGTCGAAAAATCAATTTGGTCGACCTAAAAAAAGGGCCGAAAAAATGTTTTTAGACGAAATCTAAAAACATATAAAAACAGCAGCACAAGGAAAAATTCTCGCTCTAAACTAACAGGAATTATTGTTCCAACCAGTACCTAATGGTTGATAGGATCTATGGCGTAGGAGATGTTTGTTCCACTCAAGATCGATGGTTATGTTATGATAAAACCCTTAGATCTTGATTCAGAATCAGCAAATCAATAACTTTGTCTGGGAGTCGCAAAAATTGGTCTGCAGTTTTTGATGAGCAGACCAATTAACGCTGGGTAGGAGGTCTTAATCAAGTTTCAAATACAATTAAACGGCTGTTCTTGCATTAAAATAGGCATCATCAACTACTTCTTGAAGGTTTTTTCATGTCCCTTCAACTACGAACACAAATTTCTGGAGCTAAAAAAATTAACCAAATATAAAAAAGAAATTTTGCACAAAGGCGAAGCGGAGCTTGCGATACAACACAGCCATGGGAAGTAAAAAAAAAAGAAAAATGTTTAAAAAAAAACAGTGCCAACAATTAAATTTTCGTATGTCCATTTTCATTCTAGGCCAACAAGACAGATATTTAAATATTACATTGGGAAAAAAACTTACGAAGAGGAAACAAACCCGACAGTTTTTGGGCAGACCCAAGTTGATCCGGAAAAAAACAACGATTTTTATTTTTTTTTAAATTTAAAGTTTGAAGTCTCTCCTGAAACTACAATGAACAACACTTGCACTTGCAACTACAATGAAAGTCGCTTATACCACAAGAAAATATTGTGATGTGACAACTAAGCCGGCAATCTTTGACCAGACACCAGTTGAGCCGAATCAAACAAAAATTAAAATTTTCGAGTCCTCCCGAAACTACAAGGAACAACACTTGCACTTGAAACTACAATGAAAAATTCTAACAGAGCAAGAAAAATCCGTGATGTCGGCCATCCTCTGATCTGAGCACAAAGTCAAACGGAACTTCACACCACTTGTGATAAGACACTAACATATCATGGAGAGCTAGCCCAAAATAGTTGACTAAAAAGGGGAAACAGTTGACTTGACGGAAACAAGCCAAGAAACGCAATTGCCAGATAACAGTAGCATTGACAAAATTCGGTGCGAAAGAGAAAAACTATAAATTAGTATGACAATTTTTTTCCGCTCAACAGGCGTGGGTTGAGTTAACGCATGGTTTTTACACAATGTTTTTACGCTTCATGTAATTTTTCACTCTCGCAATCTATACTTTTCCTCCTAAGGAAGATATACATGCATTACTTAAAAACAAAAAAAGATATCCGGTTGCTGTTCAAGTAGAACATAATGTTCCGGCCACAATAATCAACAACATAGCCTACATACAGTTGGAAAAGAGTCAATGAATGCAAGTAAACGGAAAAAAAACAATGACTTATTTGTTGAAAGTGACAACTATCGAATTTTCGAGAAAAAAAATAGATGCCCTTAAAACCTTTTGAATTTTGAGAAAAATTGATGTTTGGCCTTTTTTGATTAAATTAATCCTATTTAAGAAAACTGGATCAATAGGTAATTTTTTTATTCCGCTGTAAAATCTGAAAAATAAATTTTACTTTCGAAATTAGAAGTCGATCCCGTTTTTCGTGACCTTTACAATTTTGCTGTTTGATAGTGGAGTTTGCCTTCCTTTTAACAATAGAAGTGCAGTGAACTTAAAAAATCACAGGTCAAACCGCGAAAAATCAAAATTGAGCGTGAACAAATTTTAAAGTTTTTCCTGAAAAAAAAAATCAGCAAGATCTATATAAGAGTACTCACTACGTTCATTACTCTCAATAAATAAAACAAATATAAATACAAAGTTCATCCCCCTTCTCAATGGTACGGAACAAAAGTGAAATTTTAAAAAGTTCTGAAGAGACGCTCAGAGAAACATCAAAAACCATTTTCAATGGAATTAAATTAAATTTTCACCATGAGCACGAGACTATCTGGCCTAACTAGAAACTAAACTAACACTCAAAAATTTCAAACCGGTTTTTCTCGTTACAGAAAAAACTTAAACACACCCGAAAACAAAGTACTTCCGCATTTTCACTATTCGGAACAACAACTATTTTAACATTAAAATTGATGCTTTTTCCGGCTTTTTGCTATTTTGAAGTGAATGGTACACTTGATAAAGCGCCAATTGTTTCTTTGCAGCTCGAAATATTGAGCAGCACTAGTCTCTCATTTTTCAAGCAGGTGCAGACACCAGCAACAGGTCTAATGATTTTCCTGTAAGTTAATCAGTTTCGGGTTTTGTGAACACGATGTTCCACTAATTGACACTACCTATTTTTGCTCTATCTTTTTTATGTTCTGAACACTAGTTTTATTCTGACACCGGATTTCGTTTCCATCTTTTTTTTATTTCTTCAGTAGCATCCCTTTCTTATTCAGTAGAAATTTATTGGGGGTAAAAAGTTCGGACCCAGTTCAGTCATTTTTACCTTCCTTTCTGGGCAATGTTCGTCAGAAAGACTTACCAGAATATCAAGAAAGAGTTTGCATTGCTCCATTGGTTTCAGAGGTGAACCAGATATTAGTAGTTGGATTCATGCATAGCGAAACTTAGACAAGATAATTTGCTTGCCGTTCGATCACGAACTTGAAAAACTCATTTATTGGGTTTTCTTTTATCTGCTGGCTCAAAAACAAAACTGAGATTATCTGCTGGCAAATTAACTTGGCACGCGTAGACTTTAATTAAGCCAACAACTATTGGGCTATCGAAACTAGAACGCCTGCCAATGGAGGCGTGAATGGTTTCAAAATGTTCGCCTTCAATGGAGAACGCCTTCACGAGGCGGCAGATGTGGATCCGGAAACGGATCTCAAAGTTTCCCCAAATCCGAGAGTGTGCCTCACGACACATCGATGACCTTCCGGGTTTTTGGGAGGGCGCTCAGCTAAACTCGCTTATCTGAGTCGCCTCCTCTTGATGGCGGGAGACGTGGAAAGCAACCCGGGCAAGTCCAATGGCAGTGCGGAGCTTGCAACAAGACTACAAGGCAGAGCAAGGACTGGGTCATTATCTGTGTGGACTGTCATTTTTGGCATCACAGAAGATGTCTGGGGATATCAGTCGAGGAGACCAGGACTCTATCCTCTTATAGGTGGCACTGCGGATGTGAAACCGCCCCCCAGAGTGCACCTCCTTTCCAGAAAAGCAAGAAGAAGCCAAAAGTCCGCACTGTGCAGCTGAACATCGAAGGCTGGAAGTCGAAGTCGGTCACCTTCAACAAGATGCTGGAAGACGAGGAGATCGACATCGCGGTCATTCAAGAGACAGAACTGATGCAAGACTCCGCCACCCCGAACACCAACGGATGGCACGTTCACAGACGGGAGAGGAAGATCCACCGGGCGAGCAAAGAGCAACTGCAAGGAGTTCTGGCAATTGTCTGCAGACAAGGGCTTGAGACCAAACAACTTGACGATCTGACGCTGCCCGGACAAGCAGCCCTGGAGTTGCTCGGAATAGAAGTTGCGACTTCCAAAGGCAAGCTACAAATTTGGAACATCTACCGCCCGCCTGCGCGAGTCGGCGACGGTACAGAAGCGAGTCTGCACCTCAGCGCGTGGCCGTCCAAGGAGAACGTCGTCATCTGTGCTGATGCCAATACTCATGGCCAGTGGGACAAGAACTCAGAGGCCGACACCCTTGGCACAAACATCGACGACTGGGCAGCAGACAACCAGATGATCATTCTCAACAACGGCAACGCGACAAGACTAAGAGGAGGGTCACCAACAGCGCCGGATGTCATCATCGTCCACAGCAAGAGGGATCATCTGGCCCAGTGGAGGATAGGAGACCCTCTGGGATCAGACCACCTGCCACTGATCACAGAAATCAGCAACACTGCGACGAGAAAGAAGACGAAGGAGAGAAGCTTCAACTACAAGAAGGCCGACTGGCCCTTGTTCAAGATTGAAGTGGACAAGAACCTTCGACAGTTCGACTCCGGCGACCTCACCCTGGAGAAAGAATACAAGAAGGTTCAAAGACGTCATCCTGGGAGCTGCCAATACTGCAATACCGATATGCGGAGTGGGGAAAAGCTCCAAACCCTGGTGGAACAAGGAGTGTGCTGAAAGAAGGGCACACTACAGAGAGTGCTTCCGGAGATAGCAAGACGACATGACCGAAGAGAAGAAAGAAGAGAAAGACCTAGCGAAGAAACAACTAGATGACTGCATTCGAGATAGGAAGAAGCGCGCCTGGAAAGAGTTCACTTCCGAATTGGACCCAAGAGACCCCAGCACGAAAGTCTGGAACACTCTGAAGAGCATGGACGGTACGAAGAAGCAACCGCTCCCAGAAGCGCCGATCTCGGGCAGTTTGACGGCTAGAAGCGCACGCGACAAAGCAGAACTCGCTGTGAGAACGTATGCAACAGTGAGCCGTGTGAAGGTCGACCGATTGAAGCAGAGAAGCTTACCTCGAAGTGAGGAGACTCAACGAAACTCCCGAGGGAGACGACTCTACCGGTGACACCTTCAGCCGGATAGAGTTGGATCACGTCATCCAGAAGATGAAGAAGAGCACAGATGGTGAAGACAAGATCCACCCCTGAATGATCAAGAACCTCTCCGACAAAGGCCTCGATAAGCTCCTGAGCATCATCTACAGGGGTTGGACCGAAGGAAGAACACCTGGCGAATGGCGAAAAGCGGTCATCATTCCGATCTTGAAGAACGGAAAGCCACCGAGCGAGATAAAAAGCTAACATCCGGTGTCTTTGCTGCCCTGTGACTCCAAGGTCATGGAGAGCCTCGTCACCATTAGGCTCAAGAAGTCTGCCAGCGACATCAAAGCCATTCCTCCCCAGCAAGCAGGATTCTAGAAGGGCAGAATGACGACCGACGTCCTGGTGAACATTGCTCAGAAGGCCTTCGACAGCCTTCAGCGGAAGGAGCGAACCATCATTGTCACGGTCGATCTGAAAGCGGCTTTCGACAGAGTTTGGAAAAACGGCCTTCTCCGCGACCTCGCCCGCCTCAAGATCCACCCTACTGCTCTCCGCTGGCTTCGAGCTTTTCTTGCTGACAGAAAGGAGGCAGTCCGTTGGGACAACACCATCAGCCGCTTCAGGACGTTCAAGGAAGGGGTCCCGCAAGAGAGCCCTCTCTCTCCTCTTCTTTTTTGCCTCGCCACCGCTACGCTGCCGATAAGGATTTGCAGCTCAGCACCTGGAGTGTATGCGGACAAATTCGCAGACGACTTCACCATCTCAGCGTCTGGCAGGACAGTAGCAGAAGCAGCAGTTCGCCTCGCCCCTGCTCTCCGGGAAGTGAAGAAGTGGTCAGCAGATTATGAAGTTCTCCTCTCCACGGAGAAGACCGCGGCACTTGTCGTTTCCTTTGACCCATGGGAAACAGTTGGGAAAGCGTCGACAGGCCTGAGTTTCCTCGGCACTCCGATCCAGAACAACAGACATCAAAATTCTTGGAGTACACCTGGACACACAGATGTCATTCAAAAAGATTGTGTCGGAGATGGCGAAAAAGATCAACAAAAGGACACAAATCCTCCAAGCACTAGCAGGCAAAGACTGTGGCATCCTTGCGATCGACTTGTCCCAACTCTACAAGGCCTACGCGAAGCCCGGTGGTCGGTACGCTCTGGAAATCTGGAGACCATTTCTATCGAAGACAGCGCTCCAGACGCTTGAGACAGCCAACAACAGAGCAGCCAGGCTGATCACTGGTACGCTCCCGGGCACCCCTTCGGCAGCTGCGGTTATAGAAGCAAACCTAACACCGATCAGGATAAAGGTGGAAGAAAAAGCAGCGCTCCTACTCGACAGATATTCCAGGTTCCCCGACGACCACCTGAAAGAGCTAACAGCACCTGCACCCAGGTCCCGACTAAAACCCAGGGATGAAGAGTCTCACAGGCTTGACTGGCGCAGCACTGCAAGAAGACTGCTGAACGAAGTCCCGGAAGGAGGTAACCTGTTCGAGCATATTGTCGCAAAGAGAGAGGAGAAACACTGAAGAATCTATGAAGAATTGACACCCGAAACATCAACTCACCGAAGAGCCACCAAAGGAAGTCCTTTGCCGCACTCAGTCAACAGAAGCAGAGAAGAAGAAATAACGCTGCACAGGCTGAGAACCAACAGAGCCCGCTTCCTCCGCCAGACTCAACAAAGGTTCGGCCTCGTTCCGGACCCAATCTGCGGGAATTGCAACCAAGAAGGGGAATCAGTGGAGCACTTCATTACATCTTGTGTTTCATGGGAACCAAAAAGAAGAATCGCCATGGGGGACGGCTATCCACAAATCACAACCCTCCAGTCAAACCCGGACAAAATCTTGAGCTTCGTGAGGCTCGCAGGGCACCTCACGTTGCCCCCGATAAATAGAAGGGCTCCAGCCACACACACACACTATTGGGCTATAAAAATGATGAGTTTTTATACCTCTTCCTCCCGCAAAACACCCAAACCTATTTTCACCCTTCCAAACGCGCGATGTGATCTAAGCCGATACACGACGAAACATTTGAAGCCGGAAGAAAATAAAAATGCACATACAAAATCCTGAAACTCAACTCAATTATCTGCACCAATTAAAATTGGCATTATACATTAGTTTTAAGACAAAGCCGCACTTTCAAGAAAATGTTTACTACGGTACCTCAATAAGTACTTTAGCTTTCATTATGCTTTAGCCTTCTAACACTTGCTCTTGGATTTTTTTAATCTTTATGTGAACCTTGTCGAACCAGAAATTATCTAATGGAACATTAACCGGACTATATGGGAATTACAATCCCTTTGCTTTGCAAGAATTCACTTAATATTATTATAATTTTTATGATTATTATTATTATTATGAGAAAACTACCTTCTGTTTTCCCGCTTTCATCCCGCTCGGCGCTAGCGTTGAAGACGTCCATACTAAACATCACAACCTTGGGGGTCATGGTGGACATTTTGTTCCCAAAGCAGTATTTGTACACTCCCGCAACGTCTGCCGAAAACGTGTTTCGTCCGTTTGATTCTCTCTCAGCAGAATATATAACTTTACCGTCAGGAGCAGTTATCTACAACATGAAATATTCAAGAACGTATAATGCAAAATGCGAATTGCAAAATGCGAAATGTAAAATGCGAATTGCACGGTCATCCATGTACAAAAACGCAACACTTATATCAAACCTTTCAAAAAGTGCTCAAACATGGCAATTTTCGCTCTTTTTAGATTAAAAATTATTGGTTGGTTCGTGAAGGGTCAAAATCCACCTTCCCATAGAGAAAATTCTATATCTGCCTCTGATACGAGCAACTGTTTGGCTCTTTCAGGAGAACAGTGGTTCTGCCCTTAAAATGGGAGTGAAATGGAGCTAGCCAAAATTACTAATCACAATATCGTGAGATGTGCTCGATGACCTAAAAACTCTCTATTATTATCGGTAATATTCACTCTATGAGAACATAACCCGTTAAACTTCGAATCGCGGTTTTGCTCGATAACTTTCCTAGCAGTGCCAATTACGATTGAAACGGTTTCATTGTGCTTTACTACCCGCCCCGATGTGACGTGTATTTGATATACCTTGTATAACGAAGGAAAATACGCCCGAATTTAGTTTTTACCGTTTCAATTCGGAAAATTTCTCGGGCGAATACGTAACCAAACTTGCTAACCTGCACATCGATGTCGAGGAAACCTCCTTGAGCGACTTCAAATATGAGCGACATTTTTGATTTCGCATCTACTCGTTCATGGAAACACTCTTCAGAATGGGCATCTATTGTAACAAAATATCCATGCCCAACGGCCATAAACGCCAAGACACAAATAAATTGAACCAATGCTTTCATTTCTAAAAATAGAGTGATAGGAAGTGAAAAAAAATACAACAGATCAACCCATTGGATGTAATCAGATTTAAGCAATTTCTGGGTGAGAATTTCTCACCATCTGATTTTTAAAAATGAAATCAATGAGCCTTGAAACACGTTGTGCCGGAGCATTGAAACTCGTAAAAAACTACACCAATTATCGGACACTGACATTTTGATTGTCGGTATTAGATCCAGGAAAACGCCCTTACACTGCTTTGACATCGAAAAAAATTACTTAACACCTCTAAAAAAACTGAATTAAAACCTTTCATTGTTAATCAAATTTTTAAACGAAATAAAAAATATTAAAATTCAAACAATTTCGGATTTATGACCATTGTCAGGTTAAAAGAATTGATATACAATGACTTACAGACAATAAAGCATCATAAAAGATATTAAATGGTGGTTCTAAACAGAAAAAAATGTATCCACCAATCAAATTTAAGCATTATTACGTTGCAATTTTTTAAAATTTATTGTTTTCAATAAAACATTCGCCCGGAAGTACATATCGACGGAAAAGAAAGCTAGATTGTAAAACGACTGGCTAGCGTCTAAACACAGCTCTACATGTTTTTAAAGCCAGTTCTTTTTGTGGTCCTTCTAACATCGGGTCGACAAAATCGTTACTGTTTTGGGCTATCGGCCAGAACGCTCAGATTAACTTAGTTACATGCAAAAATAGTGAGCTCATGGCTGGGTCTGTGTCCCCAGACCACGTGGTCACTCTTAAAAACAGGGCTACTACTTATTTATTACAGTACTTTTGTTTTTGTTCAGTAGATAAAAATCATCATATCCATCGGGTATGGATCAACCCTTTCCCTCAACTCCTAGCTTCTCATACTCTGAAAATGAATACGGTGTTAATTAAATTCAACCTAGGACATTCCAGGAAGCTAGTAGTTATTAATTTGGAGTTACAATTTCCTCCCCGAGACCGTTCCAGATTCTGGAATCCGGACGAAGAGCGGTCTAATCGTCCTTCCGGAAGGCTGGTAAAGCCGTCTCAATACCCTTCATCTTTCTCGGGAAGTCTACGGTAACGATTGTACATTTACAACCGTTACTATTTGGAATGGTCTTCCGTTAACATCAACCACTATAATTTCTTCGTTCGTTGCTATTTCTCGTTCGTCTTTTCTGTTTCAACGAATTTTGTTCTCCTGTTTTTCCTTATTCTCAGTTGTAGCGAAACTTCAAGATCGTGACGTCTTTATTTTGGAACGACTTTTCGAAATTTTTTACGTGACGCCAACTGACCATTCCCGATTCGTTAAATCGTTCGATTGGTACAGCTAATCTGCTAAAACTGCCAATTTTCCCTTTTTATGGCTACAATAAGCTTTCTAATTCGCCATGCATTTTGGCGCCGTTCTGGTCGAATGTCACAGACTGCGGACAGCCCGGTCAATGTCCTCATTGAGTCTCGTGGTATTCATTAAAAATGATGAAGTGCCATCGAACAGAATTTACAAAATGCTTGAAACCAGTTTCATCCATGTCACATCGACTCACTGCAGAATACAATTTGCATCATTTACACTGTTGTAGCCTTCCAAATGCTTCCACTCATCTACACTTTTTAGGATATAAATTAATTAAAAAACTTTTAGCTCCAATGTCTAGTTTTAAAACTTTTCTCCTAGGTTTAAAACGTGTTGGGACGCAGGACAGTCCTGCCAACCAGCAAACTAAAATTAACCTCTTATGCTTCTTTTTTTCGGAAATTTAGTTGTTATTGGTCCTGAATATTAAAATAAAAATACTTGGTGGTTGGATGGAACAAAAAAATAATCTCCTTCTTCAAGAGTTTATCCAAGCCCTTCATATCACCACCAAGTTATCATTCATCTTATTGGTTAAAAACAACCATGCAGGCTAAAATATTTAATATACTTCTCGCTCAAGTCTCTCTAGATAAATAGTAAGTGTATCTAAAGTCACTAATAGAATTACAAAGCAAATTTATATATGCAGCAAGTTCTTCAACTCCAAAATTCAACTAAAACTGTTCCTTATTCAACTAAAATTCAGCATTCATCTAGAGGAATGCGGAGCAGACAAGATTGCAGTTGAGGCGAGAATTTCAGACAGATGCTTAGACACTAATAAATTTTGACCTATAGAAGCGCTTTATATTTCGAGGAGAAGACCTGCCCTCAACACGCGCGAGGAATACCGGCAGCGGTACCTCACAGTCAAGTTGTGAGGTTTTTTAAGTCCGTTCGTTTTAGTCACATGACTAACTCGGGTCTTAACTGATGCTATTCTTATATTCTTTTTAATGTTAGTTTTTATACATTTTTTGTAATTTCTACACATCCATTTCCATTCCGGTTTTACAGGTGCTTTGTTTTTTAGATTGGCTGATGATGACTTTTATGTCGAAAACGTTTCTGGAATTTTTTTCACATTGATCTGCCGTTTTTACCACTAAAATTTTTTTTCTTCATTCAGTTTCAATTGCAAGCTTAATTGCTTAGTTTCTCATTTGTGTTTTTCTCACATAAACATTTCTGAGTTTTCACATCTTCTCCTTAATTACTTTTTTGTTCACTTCTTTGTTCACTTTATTGTTCACTTCTTTGTCATTGCTCCATCTCCTCCTCCTGCGACATTGACTCCGCACTGTCAGTTTAGACTAATTGTTATGATAAACTTATTAAATAGTTTGAGATTAGAATGTCAATGGAAACAAGGAATGGATCTGTGGGACATAGAGCTCAGG